AATCGCGATCGACTGGAGAGAGTTCTTGAAACTAGATCCAGTCATAAGAGAGATCCCACAATCCCACGCGCGCGAAAAAATACAAGATGGCTGCTGAACACGTGTCTGGCTATCGACAGAAAAATAAAAAAGACATCTGGATAGACGATGACATCTGTCTATTATTAGATATACGGCAAGAAAAAGTATTTATTTCTAACCAAAACTTTCATTTTGTTTGTTGGTGTTCGTGACTTACCACGTAGTTATGTCAATTTTATCATCGCGTGTAATAGCCGGGTTCTTCTCAAGCGAGTTACCTGTGCGAACAGCACAACTTTCCACTGGCGACAGTCACAATCCAGATTGTGGGTAAATCGAAATCGAAGTGAGTCGTGGATTGTGTGCGAACGGGGTATTACCCCGATTGGTCATTCTTTTGTTTCTAGGCGAAACCCGAGACCGATCTGGGCCGGGAAAAGGTCGGAGAGGCGATAACGGAGCTTTTAAAGTCCGCGCTCGTATTTTACTACGTTATGGCCCTTTCCTGTGACATCTTTGAACCTAAACGGTCTACCAGATGTTCTTGTGGCCATTTACTCCCTAACGCGTTCGTGCTTAACAGATGTCCCTTTTGTCATTAACCCCCCCCCCTTTTCTCGATTGTTTCGACCCGACACTTGTTCGCGAGCATCTCGACAAAGCTCTCTCTCTCTGTCGACATTCCCCCCTGCTGTTTATCATCGCGTCGCATTTGTCTTAAAATACGTAAGAAAGTTTTCGTCCCATCTGGGTTCTGTCATTAACACACCCTCTTAACCCGATTCTATCTTCGAAACTCTCCAACTTAGGAGTTTCGTAATTAGTCGCAATTTCGACGCGCTTTTACGACCCTCACACTATTTTGCAAAATTTTGAGAACAAAAAAAATCCACCTACATTATTTATATTGATATTTCCCAAGCCTTTGACTCTATCATTCCTAAATTATTACTTCAGACTCTAAGTGATTATTTTGATTTAGATCCCGCACTTTACTGTTGGTTAAACAATTACAGTAGAACCTCGAAAACTCGTCCCTCGATAACTTAGCACTCCGGATAACTGGTCCACACCTTGGCAGGGCGAAAAAATCCTTAGTTAATTAATTTTCATTATAGACAGCTTTATAAAAATATAAAAGCTCTCATAAAGTATTTTTCTGAGGTCTGTCTTATCAGGTAAATTACTGTACACAGTGTATTCATTAATTTTCATTTTCATGTAGTGGCTCTATGCCTTCATAAAGGACGTACTTTTCCTTTGTTTAAGGGTATTTGGGCAGTTTATTCTCTGTTATATTCTGTACAAGTAAATACTGTACAAGTAAAGTACAGTATTTTCTGAGGAAATACTCGTACTTATTTTTTTTAACCCCATTCCCGATAACTCGGCATTTTCACAAACTCGGTCACCCTTCGGTCCACATTAGGTCGAGTTTTCGAGGTTCTACTGTACTATTTATCCAGACTATGTAAGATTCATATTGGTTTCTTTCCCTTTCTCTCCTATCTGCGGCATATCTCAAGGATCTGTACTAAGCATGCTTTTTTTCTCAGCTTATATAGATAAATTACTAATCAACCCCCACTCTAAAGTAATTGCCTACGCCGATGACATAAAAATTTTATCCAATGATCCCTCCTCCCTTCAGATCACTGTCAATTCTTTACGTTCTAATCTTGCCGGTTATAATATAAAAATCAACATCCATAAAACTGTCATTATGTGTTTATCTCTACTTTGCAATCCCTAACACTCTTCCATATTTATTGATTCTTCTAAAATAAACTGTCCAGTCTCATCGTGACCTTGATATCATATTTGATGAAAAATTAATATTCTATGATCATATCTCTTACATTATTAAATCTCTTGCAATTAGACGTGGCTTTATCTGGCGTTTTTGCAAAAATATCTCTTCAAAGATCGTACTCAGAATAATTTTCTTTACTAATTTTCAATCAATAGTCGATTATTGTTTACCAGTCTGGGCCATGGCTGCCCCTTATCTGATTCAAAAAATACAATCTGAATTAAATAAAGTTTATTTTCTGATACACAAATTCTGCAATTTACCCTTTACTGACAACCACGATGTGGCAAGAGTTCACCTAGATCTTCCAAATCTTTCTGATCGCTTAAAATATTTTGACCGCATTCTCTNAATAGTCGATTATTGTTTACCAGTCTGGGCCATGGCTGCCCCTTATCTGATTCAAAAAATACAATCTGAATTAAATAAAGTTTATTTTCTGATACACAAATTCTGCAATTTACCCTTTACTGACAACCACGATGTGGCAAGAGTTCACCTAGATCTTCCAAATCTTTCTGATCGCTTAAAATATTTTGACCGCATTCTCTGCTTTAAATACTTCAATGGTTTAATTTTAAATTACTGGCTAGGTCTCTGCATCCCTACTGTAAGAACCCGTAATACATCATACTTCTTCATCCCATTTTTTTCGCCTTTCTCTTTCACAAAGATCATTTTTTTACCACATAGCATCTCACATACAGCCTGTTGAACTATACCTATATCGTGATTTTAATTTTTTAAAAATAAATGTAAATCTATTTTATATAATATATAAAATAATAAACTGTTGTTTTACTTTATGCTTTTTAATGTCTGTTATATCTTTTATATTTTGTAATCATTTTATTGGCGATCTTTTTTTTTTGTTATTAGGGGGGTGGAATACAATCGTCTCTAACATTTCCAATTAAATTTAAATAAAATAAAAATAATTAACGAGAACAACCATCGCCGTTGCAGTTGCCTGCGCGGCTGGAAGTCGCAAGGTGCGACCACGGCTTTAGAAGCATTCAAGGTCGTAGCGAGTTTCAGATCATGTGTCGTTACATCATGCATAGCTGACAAATATCCAAGAGATAATCGTGTAAGGCATCCATGTTCATATTTGCCGCCTCTCCTTGTTATTTTGATCATGGGGATGCCGCTACAGTCTGAAGTGGCGCTGTACGAAATCGTCTTTTAATGCTGTAACCAGCAAAAATGTACGTTCTTTTCTATTAAAGTTCCTTGATCTGTGCAATAGCTTAGTTCTTCGCCCTCTTTCCAGCACTCTGCTCCTAACTTTGGCTAATCGCGCCATTGAGGGAATAATTCTCTTACACTACCAGCATAACGGTTTTATGTGAGGCTGAATGCTCTGTGCTGCTTTGCACAGATAATAATTACACCAATGTCGAATAAGGACCTTGAAATGTCAAGAAATGCAAAAAATTCGTTTTTTCCCATGGGTGATTGTGGGGGGCACAATTCTATTCACCCGCTTCGAAGCTTAGTAACTCCTGTGTGTATTGTCAGAATTTTTTGAAATTTTGCAAGGAAGTTTATGTACAGTATTAGGGAATTGATGTTAAATAAAATTTTGGTTGTTAAAGGTCGAGGAGGTCGTGTGTCATATCTCGAGTATGGTAGGACTTGATGATTTTACTCGTTATTAACATTTACAGTTTTTTTTTATAAAGCACATTTTTACCCTCAAAATAAAGCGTTCTGCCATTTTATAATAATTTTTTTTATATATATAATTAATTATGGTAAAAATCTCATAACAGATGGCGTCTCACAAAATTTGTTAATAGTATGATTAATAGAAGTTATTTTTAAAGTAGTTTCTTAAATAACAACCGGAAAATTCGCGCAACCCTTCGCTACTGTTGTTTTAAATCGAGAATAAAATGAATTGTCGGGAATTTGTTAACAGAGTAGGATATTTATGAGATACATCCCCTCCAAAACTAACGACCTAGTGACGCTACTGGGTACAAGACATAAGTTACAAGTACCAAAAGAAGTGGTGGGGTGGTGAGGGATTTGTACAATTGCATTTCTTCTAATTTCTTTCAATATGGAACCAACCAGTGGCCGAATAGATAATACCATTGAACACGAATCACAGATTTATGGTTTTATTCATATACAGCAACGCAACACGTGGGCGTTCTGTCGAGGTGGGATGCCTCACTTTCTGCGTTTTCTTCGAGTAACCATGTGAAGAAAAACTAAATAGGAGTCACTTTTCCGTAGAAAGTCCTCCAGGAGGCATCACCTTTGGCAGAGCGCCATTGTTGCTCTGCCTTATCTCATCAATCCAATCTAATTCAGTTCAATCCTTTTAAATTTGTGTTAACTTAAACTGAGAGGGGTACAGACTTTGCACTTGGGCAGTACGATTTTCGCAGATACGTGACGTTTAGTTTCGCTTATGTCTCCATTCTTTCTTTATCTTTCTACACCGATTGTTGTATGCAGATTGCTCCATACAGATTGTTAAATCTTTTGTTGCAGTATTTTTTATTTTAATTTTATTTAAAAGGTCTGACAGTAGTTCTTAAAATATAAGTAAAGATTAATTAAACCAAGTCGTGTTTATTTCTGAAAAGTTCAACCACCAGAAAGTTTCTGCGGAAAAATACTGCTTTTCTATCTTTTATTGAAGGATATGCCTTTGCAGGAATTTGAAAAGACAGTTAGGAACTTTCACTGATAATAAGCAGATTAAATATATAGACTATATATACACACACACAATTTTACAATATTTATTAATTATTTAGACTAATGTTTACCGACACCAAAGAAACACGGACCTCTTTTTGGCGGGAATAATACATGACACAGGCATATTTGTCAGATTTAATTAATATTTACAATAATACTGTAATAATATTAATAAAATGCAATAATAAAACGTTAATTCTACTGAATTCAAACCGGTTTTACAGGTTTTACAAAACGCCTATAGAACCAAACTATTATTATAATAAATAGCCTTGTTACTTTCGATTTAAAAGACAGATTAGAAAAACCTATTTTTTTAGAATTCAGCCAAGTACATAGGTCACATAAAATTGATAATTGCAAGAATTTATCTTTTCGCCGTGAAAAACTATTATAAAAATTGATAAATAGTTCATAATTAAAGTATTAATTCGATAGGCAAATATTCATCTTGCAATGGTTATTGTCATGGCCGTGTTAACTACTATTGTCCAATGCTAGTACAAATTATTCAAGAGAAATAGGCAATTTATCGTGAAAAAATAAGTTTTCTACTTTGGTTATATTTATCGTTAATTATTAATTTTGATATTTTTTTAAAATGTAAGTAGGAATATTTTTTAAACTTTAATAACTTTTTACATAATATTGAATTATTTAAAAACCTGTTTTAATTATTACAGAATTATAGTCTTAAATTTTGTGATTTTTAAAATATTTTTATTATGTTTATAACTTCGATTATATTCAACGAATTGTTCTGTGTACTTTACGATATAATGCATTGTAATTTATTTTATTAGCATTTCTAGGGGAAAATGGCTTCCTGGCAATCAGAAATTACATCGGTTTCTAATTCACTAAAACATATTTTGGAGTTTCGCGATTTCTCAGACGTGACATTTAGTTTTGGAGAATTTTCTAATGAGAAAAAAGTCAAAGCCCATAAATTAATTCTCGCTATGAGAAGTGACGTCTTTCAAGCCATGTTTTATGGAACTATGCGAGAAGAAAGAAGTGATGTACTTGTGACAGATATAGACGAACACATCTTTCAGATCATGCTAAAGTAATAATCTTAAATATTTATTAGTATTTTTTAATTGTAAAATTGTTTTATTATTTAAGTAACGATTGATATAATATTTAACTGTATTTCAGTTTCATTAATAAGTCTCAATTAGAATTATATTCCAAAATCTATAAAGATTTTAGAATATGGATTGAATTATTTATTTTGACGCCATTTAGGATATATATATTTTTTCATTTTTGACTCTGTGCACTATACTAAGAGGGCATTTTTTCATATCAATCGTGGGTTCGGCTAGGCCCATAATGGGAGCGACCAGGAGGCATGGGTTCGCCTGTGAAAAATTTTTGCAGTGTTTCGACTGCCAGGATTCGATTCCGGATTCCCCAGAGCGGTAAGATGATTGCTTAACTCCTTGACCGTCTATCCGGCGCCATTTTGAATAGAGGGGAGTGGGACAAGAGTATGCACTTAGTTTTTATACAAAATAAAGTCTTTGTTAAAAGAGTGAGAATTATGAAACATACGCATAGTAATTCTCAAACCGTCTTCTTTAAGATTCCGTAAGATTTTTATTGATATTTTGAATATATGTCATTTAATAAATTTTTTCAAAAGGTTACAAAAGAGCATTTTTGCCCCACTGATGGGGTAAAAGTGCGTATATGGTAGGGTAAAAGTTTGCAGGACAAGGTTTTTATGAAAAGCTATACAAAATGTATTTTGATGAACAGAATTTATTTTAAAAAATAACAATTTTTCATTAAATTAATTTTTTAAATTTATTCAATTAAACAATTTTTGCGTATTCTCCAATTTTCTTGGCAGAGAATTCTCTTTGGTCTAAACTCTCCTCTTTCGGATCAGGAATGTCAATATTCGTATAAAATGATTTATGAGTAATTTTTCCTGGTTGTATTGTTTCCGTCTTCTTTGATATCTGTCTCTTCATATCTTCTGCCTCTGACTTGTGTGACCTTTGGGTCGGTATCTCTTTGATACCACGTCAGGTGACACCACTGTATCTTTAGGTCGATACAGAGACCACAAGTTCGTGCGAGCGGTTACGTAGGAGTTTTGGACCCGGAATGGAGTGAACGGAGAGAAAAACGGAAAAAGCTGCACTCGAAGTTGCTTTAAACATAAACAACCGTTTATTTATATTAAATCTACGTTAGTTATACATCGGAATTTAAGTTGCTACATATCAATTACGTGAATCGCGTTCATTCTAGTTCAATTCCTAGTTACAATCGAGTTCGCGATTGGTTTACGCGGAGAGAGAGAGCGTACAATAGTGCGCAGGATAAATACCTTATATTATACTGTTGATCGAATAACTGCAATAAAGTTCGAAGTTAAGTAGGTGAATTGTTGATATCTTCGAGTTCAGTAGGGGAGGAGGAGGTGTTGGTCGACGAACAGGAACAGTCTCTCGAAGAAAATTTCGGCGCGGCATACACACACACAATCAAATAATAACTTCCACGACGTTACTCATTGTGCCTGTCCTTTTTATACGAAGTCCTCTTTTTGGGCCTTTCCCCGATTTCGTCAGGGATGACGATCTCCTTGGACCAATGAGGTGACGGGTGACACAATCGTGACACAGAGATATACTCATCTCAACAAGGAACCCAACT